TCTTTTGCTTGCTTTACATAAATATAACCATTAAAAATAAAAAACGTCATTAAAAATAAAAAACTTGGGATTTTTTTTGTGATGGATTTTTTTTGTAGTCCAAATTTTATGAATTGTCGCCCCCCTCCCCTCATGTACAATAAATATCGAAAAGAAGAAAAAGAAGGGGAGGGGGGAAACCGCTTCCAATTATAATAAAATTTGTCATTTTTCCTAAGCACTTTTTTTAAAATGAATAATGACCTTGTCAGGTGAGGTACTGGTAACCGCAGAAACAACTCTTGATTTGAATGTTGTTTATTTAATACTTCTAATCCTTCCCCAAACTTCACAAGAATTTTTTTTTACAATAATAAAAAAAATGTAGTAGAATATGAACGTTACAAACTTCTGACAAATTTTACTGAATTATCGTTCGTTTTAAAGTAGTTAGTATCAGAGCAATTTTCTGATGTTTTTCATTAACTTAATTCAGAATTTGATACCCTTCACAACCTTTTAATACAAGATTATTGTTAGTATTATCATTATTATTTTAGCATACTACATCTGTAAACAGATTTTTGAGTGTTAAGGGTTTACTGTCTCATTTATAAGAATTTTTTCACAATTTTTAAATACTTGAGTAAATTAATGAAAAAATGTAAGTATCAATTATAAATGCACAGTAATTTACATCGATATTTTGTACAAGCATTTGAATTCTAATTTATTTTATTCTTATTCAAATTCTTTTAATTTCTATCTAAGCTTCTCAAAAAAGTTTTTTCTTCTAGTTCTTGATTACGACGAAAAACTAATTTTTGCTCTAGTTGATGTAAACTGCAAAAGTGACAATGTATTTTTTTTTTTTTTTTGCTTTCAAAAATGAAAAAAAAAAAAAAATAAGGATTTTTTTAATTGATATGCCTTTTTGTCACCTAACACTAATTCAAAAGATTTTTTGAAGGAAAATATTTTAAAAAATTGTTCAGTAAATCCTACAGTTTGAACACAAAAACTTATTTTAATTTTTTTATTATAAAAATAATACTAGAATTCAGGAATAAACTTTAAATATTTTGCTGTACTAATGTTAGCATACATTTTCTTTAAAATTTTTTCATTTATTGTAAGATTGATACTCTCTTTTTCTTTTTTCCACCACAATAAAAAATTTAAAGAAAAAAATATTCTAAAATAACTACAATCAAATAAGTTAAGCACTTCATACTCCGAAAAAAACCCAGAGAAAAATGAAATTTAAAACGACTCATAAATCAATGGAAGAAAAATCACTTGTACTAAATCATTCTTTTATATTTAGCCATTTTATTTTTTTAAATCCACTTCTAAAAACTTCAATCCAAAGCGCATTAACATTTTCTTTTTTTTTAAATGGAAAATTCTTATCTTAATAAACATATTCAATAAATCAGGAAAAAATAAAAGAAGGCTTAAGAGAAGCGAAAAAGAAAATTCTTTTTTTTTTATGAAACTGCAGACGATTTTTTTTTATGAACTTCGAAAGACAATAAATTAATATAATGTGATGGTGAAAAAAAGCTCGGAAACTAATTTTAGATAATTGATTAAAAATGTAATTCATTTAGTAGACAAAAAGGTCTCTTTAACGGAACCATTAGTGAGACTGAAGTGAAGTCAAGGGATCCGTAATGAATGAAGCCACCGTACAAAATAATTAAGAAGAGTGTGACCAAAAGTATCACCGGTGAATATTTTAGCGAAGCTATGCGATGTAATTAAATTATTAATATTTAGATATTGGGTGGTGGCAACAGCATGATGCATGGCTCCATTTAGTGTAGAAGCTCTTTATTCGGATTGATGGCGGTTTTTTAGGTGACGGGTATTTTTTATAAGTCTTACAGTGTTCTAAATTTATTTTAATTTAATGTATTCTATTATTTTAATCTTACTTGTTGTGGAATATATTTCGTCAAATTATGTGCCTAGAAATTTGAAAATGATAGAGTTAAGGTATGCTTTATTTTTTTTTTTTTATAACCGAATTGTTTTAAAATTTTCTTTGGAATATTTTTGTTAAGAAGTAAATTTTTATTGTTCTTACAAAAATTTGATTATTATATTTTTTTATTATTATTATATATAATAAAATAATAATTATATATATGTATTGTAATTATTACTATTATTATATGTTATAATTATTGTAATAATAAATTATATATTTTATTGTATTATGTTAAACTACGTTTCAAAGTTTTTTGGATAAATTTTTATGGTTGAAAAAGATGTGAAAATATATCTTTTTAACCAAAATAATTAAAGAAATACCTTATAATAATGTATATTTTTAATGCATGCTATTTAATTTTCGTTGTATTCATATTTTTTTTTAAAGAAAATTATAAAAAGTCTATTAATTTTAAAAAATCGAAGAGATGTATCTCAGGATATTATATTATTAATCTGCATATTTTTCAAACAGCTGTAATATTTAAAAAACAACAATTTAAAAAAATTTCAAGGAAAACCTTTCGAATAATATGAATTTTTAGCATTTGTTATTCAATCATAAATTCATTTATTTCTCAAAATAAAGAATTAATTCTTATCATGCTTCTTAACATAAAATTCATTTCATTTACAAAGCTTTCAAATGTATTTTAAAACCTTTTATTTGTTTAACATTAAATATTTTCTGAGAATACAGAAGGTAAAAGACATTTTACTTTCTGTTTACTTTGAAATCTATTCTTTAAATTCGTTAAAGCTTTCGTAAGCAATAATCGTCTGATCGTTAAAAGCAGCTGCCATTTTTCTCTTATTTAATTGTAACATTCTAAATTACATCCAATAAAAATTCCAACAACATTAAATTAAATGTTAGGAAAGCAAACATTAATTTTAATACTTCTTTTCAAATTCAGGCGATTAATTTGAATAAAGTTTAAAGCAATAATAAATAACTGAATTTAGACACCGAATGCATTATCTAATAAAATGCTTACACTTATAATTTAATTGGTACTTTTCAAATTGTTTTAGAAGTACAATGAATATCAAACAAGTATTATTCGCTGATAAATATTTTATCGGAAATTCATTTTAGTAGAAGTTAATCGGCTTTTAGTAATGAACAATTATGCGAAATTATTCTAATAAACTTCTAATAGTTTTGAAGGAAAATGCTCTATGATACTTATAAATTCAGTTTATTTTAATTCTAAACATTCGTCTTAACGGTGATAAGTAGCTTTCGTTTGTAAATAGCATTTAATAGACTTTGTATTCTTAAACTAAGAAAGGGATTTAAATATTTCCCCCAATTTTCCAAGGCAAATGGTTTTCTGTTAAGTAATGAATAAAATAACAAAACAAAATCCTTTCGCAAAATGTCAAATAGGAATGTATTAATTTAATGCTCTTCAAAACGTATTGAATCTAGTGTTTTAATCTTTAGTACATATTACATTACTCTTATTATTATTATTATTTTAAAATTATACCTGCTCTTAAAACATAATTTATTAAAGAAAAAAAGAAAAACAAGTTTGAAAGTTATTTAAAAAATATTAAAAAAGTTTCTTTCTTTCTTTACATTAAAAAAAATCTCTCCAAAACTTCTCTTGGAAAATTAACCAAGCATTTGCTTAAAAGTTAATGAATAATAACATTCAAATATACGATCAAGAAATATTATTGACTTTGAAAAAATTGTAAATGTATAATATTTGAAAAGAATAAAGATTATCATAAAACGTTTTAAATGAACCGTGTGACTGTTGGATTTTTTTGAAAATAATTTTTTTTCCCTTGAGGATTTTACAAAATAATATATTTTTTTCGTTAAAAAATAGTATTTTTTAAAATTGATTTTGGATATCTTTTTCATCTATACACCTGGCCGAATAAAAATAAACAGTACAAAAAATTGCCACATACAAATATTTCCATGCATTTATATAATATAAAACATTTGGATTTAATTAAAAAATTACTGTGTGGTCGAGGCCGAGTGGTCAAGTGTAGACCGACTGGTCATGGTCAAAGTCCTCATTTTTCCGGTCGAGACGGGGGTTCGAGTCCTGGTGTCACATACGACCCACTGTGTAAAGGGGGTGTTAAATCTGTCCAAGCTCACAGTTCTCACGTCAGCGTGGTGTGGAAGTTTGCGGTGGCAGCTTGAGTGTCGTCTCTTGACCGTGATTCAGAATTACAAGGCATATCACCATAAGCCCTCGTGTTGTTTCGAATTCCAATGTTTCTAAACAAGCAATCAATCAACCAAAAAGGGCATGGAGCCAAAAATTTTAAGCAACCAAAAAGGCAACTAATTAAGTGACATAATACAAATCAGAGAGTAATCCTACAACTTCAATCCCTTAATCTTACTTTTGATTTTTTTTTTTAACAAAACTATTTTTTTCTCTTAGTTTGAAAAAAAAAAACGCATGGCAGTTTTTACCTTCAGCAAAAACGTTACACTAATATAAAAACAAATAATATATAAATTTTTTTGTTATGTCAATTCCTTCTTAGGTCAACAAAGAGAAAAAAAAATGTTATTTTAGTTACTTTTTATTAAATAATTACAATTATAATATAAATATATATAGGCGCATGACAGAATCACAATATTAAGTGACAAAATAGAAAGATATATTCCTTGCAATTTTCCACTTTCCTTTCTATACAGGGTGTTGGACTTTTTTGTTTGTTTGTTTGTTTGTTACTATTTATTCATTAATTACTCGCTGGCTTAAATCCTCATTGTATTATCACTCGTTGGTAGAGCCGATACAGAGTTATATAAAACAAGACATACCCTCATACAACAGCAAGTCTTCACTCTTACTAACTAACTAACCTACCAACTGTCCAACTAGAAACTTACTGACTGAGGGTGGCACAGCTTTCTCAACCAGTTACTACGTCATCCTTTCGGTTACAGTTAAAACACAGTCTGTTGCACATTTAATTATTCTAATAAAACAGTATAGTGAAAAAGAAATCACGTTCTCAGAAAGGCTATTCGATTCGTGGGATTCGAACCCACTACCTTTGGATTAGAAATTCAACTCGTTATCCATTGCGCTACAGGGACACAACGAACGATTTTCCTTTCTATATTTGCTAATGGACTATTATTTTTGTTTGTTGCTTTTCATTTTTAAATTTGATTAATGAATAAATATTTGAAAAAACTGTATTAACATTAAGTGTCATACACTACAAGTTTGAAAAAATGTATCTGAACTTGAATGGATGAATAGAAAGTATTTTATTAACAATTGAAAATTTGAATAAGATATATAAATATATATAGGGAGAGAGTGAACTGATAGTAGGAATTGAATATAAAGCTTTTTCTCGTGATTTTTTTTACTAAATAATTAATTTTTTTCGTATAAATCATTTAATGAAACAGCCTAACTCTCAATATGGAAAATATATACAGTAAAATACGTTTAACGTGAAAACGCTTAAGACGAAAAAACGGTTAACACGAAATAATGCAACGGTTCCGACTAAGTATTATATGTATTTTCATGCAGTTTTTTTCCCTTAACACGAAAAGATTTCCCTTCTGGGTGTGAACAAAATACGGAAAACACACCAGCCGCTCGGGCGAAATTTAGGAGGGGTGTGAAATGAAAGAGAGTTAATTTCACAACTTTCGTAGAAAGGATGTGACGGATCTATACGCGGCTCTACTAACCCCTTCAGGACTCTTTAAGGAAAATATTTAATTCAAACAACTTTCACCGAAGGTAAGAAAACGTGATTTTGCAAATTAAGATTATTATATAAATTCTGTATTCACGAGTTTAGAGAGTTAGTGATGTGTGGATCGAGAGTTAGTGAAGAGAATATCGTGAGTTATTGAAATGAGAATCTAAGATTATTAAAGTGAGAATTGACGATATCCAAAGTGAGGATCACTTGGAAGTGAGCTGATCAAGACAGCTATTAGTGTTCAAGGCCTTATCTGTAGAACTTCTGTCTGACAAGAGTTCAGGTATTGTGCGTATTATTTAAATAGAAGTTAGAAACTAAATTGCTAGGGAGCATCTGAGTTAATAACGAGCTTGTATAGGTTATCGTAGAGATTAGTTGAGTGTCCGTAATATTATTCCCAGGCTAACTGGTCTCATCTTTAAGCTCTAAATAGTGATCAAACTATCTTAATTGGATTATTATTGTGCTTGTGTTGGTAATTGTGACAGTAAAATAATTTTAGGGAATCATGTATTCTGATCAATTAGTTGCTCCCACACTTCTAGCAGGGTCCGAAAGTTGACAAGAGGGGGCTTAGAGGGAAGTAGGCATAGCAGAACATCACAAGGAGGCTAACTTGGCTTTGAAATACCCTCCGAATAGCATGTAACACGAGCCAATTTTGTTTATTTAATCTACTTTCACCCTCCACTCCTACTCACGCCACACAAAAAGAACTCATCTCTCATTAGTTGATTTTAGAAATCGGCATCGAGTACATCGTAGTGCGAGTAAAAATCAGTGAGTCTGGTTCGCACTGTTTTTCAATTTTAGAAGAATTTTTTTTATACGAGCAGAACTTTTTTTCTTGGTTGCACAAACTGCTATTTTGCTTAAAATGAAGATGGAGCCGCTTAAGGCTGTTGATCAAAAACAGAAGACGAAAACGGAAATCTGTAAGGATTTTGGTGTTGCTGACTGTACTTTATCACCTACAATTAAAAAAGAGAGGAAATTAAGGAAATGTTTCATGCATATATACAAACGCAAATATAATGTGTTCAAATGCACTTAATTTTGGTGAATATGTTTTTCCGTTATTTCCTTTAAGGTATCCGATTACCCTAAAATTGCGAATTTTGCCAAAAATTGACAAATTTTTTTACGATTTTATTTTATAGGTCATTTTATTAGCTTTATAAAAATACCAAGTTTATTATTCTCTGCGTTTACTAGAACAAAAACTACAAGTGTTTTAGTAAAAGCAGATACTATTACTTTAAGCAAGATATGTCATACTTTAAAACGCGTTTTACTCGAAATGTGTGTGTTTTTTTTAAATACTCAAACGGGGACAGGGATTGCTCAAAAAGTTTTGAAAATAATTAAATGAAATTTTTTGTGTATATTCTGTAGAATAGTAGAAGTGTTTTAAACTTCAGATTTATCAATCACTGTTTTATTAGAAAATTTACAGTCCTACTTATGCGAATATAATCACTGTTATTTTAAGCAATTTCATATAATAACTAAGATAAAGTGGTCCAGTTTTTGTAAAAATTAGAATATCTCTTATCCTGATGGTCGTTTCAAAAATGAACAACATAGCAACATATCAGAATTGAAAATGTGCTCATAAACTTTTGGTACAGAAGGGGTCGCGTTTAGGGGGAGGGGTTGTAAATTTTTACTGTTTTTTTCCCATTTTAGTAAAAATAATTTCTTTTTCTCTTCTTAATTTTAGCATATTTTTTCTTAAAATGTATTTAAGAAATCTAAAAACAACAACAAAAATAAATAAATAAATAAATTACCATATCTCCATTTTATCAAAAAAAAAGTTGTCGCAAGTAGTTGAATACCTTAACACAAAGAAATATTTCAGTGTCCTTAGTTTCATGGTAAACGATTTTCACTTCAATTCTTTACAGACGATATGGACAGTAATTATCTCTTTAAAAAGGATATTATAATATACATAATCCCTTTTTTTACCTGTTTAATATGCTTATACTTCTATTCATATAAAAAGATAACATATAGTTATATTCGAAAAGCCCATTATCGGTTCTGAAATATAAGAAATACGTTGAATTGGGACATTTGTTCCTCACGGGTTTGGGTTGCTGACACATTCTTAATAGTTCTGTTTACATAAGCTTAGCATTGATCCATGGGATTCCAAACAGTGATCTTTCTTTTCCCTATAATACAATGTACCCGGAAGTTTTCAGTTAACACCAGCGGATTTTTCTATCGAAGGGATTTTTTTTTTTGTGCTGAAACTATTAGATCTGTTTTGTTTATTTTACACTTACGTTTCCTGTGATGCTGTTCTTTTTTCCACAATGCTTTGATTTTACCGGAATTATTCGTTGTATTTCTTCTAGTGTCGTGTTACGCCGATAAAGGTATTGTCTTTCTATTGTACGAACAGTTTTAGAGTTTTTTGAGTTTATGTAAGAAATAAAAATATCTCTCTCTTTCATACATTTAAGAGCAAACTATTTATATTATCCACTTAGTTTTAGTTTTTTTCTTCTTGTGCATCTGTGTAATTTAGATATAATGTGTTTTTTTTATTTGAAGAAATATATATGTTTTCTTTACTGTATACAGTTTTTAAAAACTGAAAAGTTCTTTAAATAAAGCCTTTTTTTTTTTTTTTTTTGCAAAAATATGGTATTTTTAATAATGGAATTTTTATAATTTTTAATAATGCACACAGGAATTTTTCAAAGGGTCCAAAGTCCACTGTTCTCATACCATGCTTCAATACGCCGCCCAGCATATTCTTTTAATTTTGTCGATTTTCGGGAACAAAAAAACAGTAAAAAATAAATTAGTAAGGGAATAATTAGCGTTAATTAATAAAATTAACTATTAAAAACAAATACTTAATTAATTTTTGCGTACAAAATACATAGAATTATAATCAATCCAAAAAAAACCAAGGGCTTGGGGGGGGTTCGGACCCTCAGGATTCCCCCCCCCCTTGTGTGCGCCACTGATGGAATCTATAGCAAAATAACTTAAATTGCACAATCATATAAAAATAATCAAAATAAACCTCTTATTGCTAGAAAAGCTTTATAAGAAATTAGCTGCATGGCCCGGCGTTGCACGGGCTTTTACCGAGTGTATAACTTAATCCCCATATTAATTTCCCCCTTCCTTCATGACGCCAGCACTTGTGGGTGGGTATGTACGCGTACGATGTGAATACATGTCTCGGCTTTGCACGGGCTTTCTCAACTTTTATAAATATTCCCTTCTCATTAACAGCACATCCAGGGGTGAGTGTGATTTCTAATTTAATGTGCCAATAAAATTCCCTTTTTCGAAATTTTTTTGACTTCCTTGCCCCGTTGTAAGGGTTTCTTCCCCCTTCGTTTAGCCCGTGTATATAACTTTTACCTAGTGTATATAACTTAATCCCTATGGGAATTTCCTCTTTCCCTCGTGTCGCTAGCACTTTTGTGCTTGTACTCGTGCGATGTGAGTGATTTCTATAATTACGTCATTAAAATTCCCTTTTTCGAAGTTTGCACCACTTATTTTGAATTGTTTTTTCTTTTTGCAAAAATATGGTATTTTTAATAAGGAAATCTATAATAAAATAATCTAATTTGCTCAATCGTATTAAAAAAATCAAAATAAACCTCTTATTGCAAGAAAAGCTCTATAAGAACAGCCGTTTTTACGAGGTGTCAGTAGCACTGAAATTCGGAGTCTATTTACAAATTTATATTCCGATCCACAGTGGAATCTGCTCTGTCGTATAGCAGAAAACACTGAAAATTCAATCAGGATTCTGGTATGGATATCAGGCTTAGGATTACTTTTAATAGAGTTAAACCTAGTTTCGGTAACTTATCAATCTCCTCAATTCTGTTCACAGTACTGAACAAAATCTGTTTAATAAAAACAAACATCTTCAGAATCCATTATAAAGGAGGAAAAACAGGCATATACATAAAATTTACAAAACTATTGTCCGATTTTAAAGCACAACCGACGAGATATAGGGCTCGAAACAAATGTATAACCTACACATTCAGAAAAGTAGAATGGTGGTTTCATCACACACACACGCGTGCGGTCACGCGTATAGTTTTCTCGACCGAAAGCTTTTACAGTCATACGATTTCCAGACTTTGGTGAATGGTCAGACTACCCAGATGACTCAAGATTGCATCATCTTATTTCAAAAATGTGAGCGTGTAAGTTTTTTAGAACACAAAATTGTAATTATTTCCTGTTAAGTGAATAAACTAAAAATTAATCACGCGAAGTCTTAGGAGGTTCAAGAACATTATGTGAATTAAATAAAATCCCTCGAGAGCTAATTTAAGTGAAACACACACACAAACATATATC